TTAGAAACTAACTGAAATAATTATGCAACTAATTTATTTACATATGGTAATGAATATAATATTGTATAACAATATAATATTTTGTGTGTGTGTATGTGTGTGTATGTGTGTATACAAATCTCTGATTTATTCACAGGTCTATCCAGATGTAAGTCATACTTTGGCGGGCGTTAAAGGACATTTATATCTCTCCATGGAACAGTTCTTGGAAGATTGTTTTCAAAAACAAGTACCTGCTGACACGAAGGCTGGACTTGGTAGCGGCGGTTATGGCATGTATTAATATTAAGAAATTTAAAAGATAGCAATTACATGAAATATTGCGTATCTACGAGTTGATTAAAATTGTATAAAAATCTAAAAAAAGAAGAAAATTGTGAAAATCTAAACATCTCCAAATTGTGTTCCGTCTAATAGAATAATTACAGAAGATATGTGGCTCATCGTTTTATACTCCAACAATCGAAATTATAAAACGCAATGGGAAGTATGTATAATCATCCAATACATAATTTACAATGCGTTTACACCAGTTAACAAAGCACATACCGATTATCTAATCAAATAAATTGTCTATGAAATTATGCAAATTATATTCATTTAAAGATATCTAAACATTAAATAAAATTGAAATTCCATATAATGGAATTTAACGCCGAAATAGTCGAGGAAAATAGCATTACAATGACAATTTTATATTATGTAGTGCCCGCCAAAAGAGTTCCGGGTGTATACTGCATATATTTCCGTCTAAATTACTTCTGAATGGTTCGTGATATAACATTGAACTTTATAAGAACACAATGGGATCATAAAATTTGTCATTTAACTTCGAAAACAGCCATCTTAATACCCCTAGGAAGCAGGGGAAAAACGGGCTGAATAATCTTAAAAGGCATGTGAAGTTGTATGAGAGCTTGGAAATGTTTTCTGAGACAAGAACAACATGGCACACAGTAGAGCAGATAATCCTGATCAACAATAGATCATCAAAATTTCAACAGCAGTGTTGGACGGACAGAGACAAAAGATGACGACAAAGACTATCGACATAGATGTAGAAAGAGGAAATGGATATCGGAAAATATTAGAATTGCTACCTGCCTGAATCAGGGATATCTTGTCAGGAAAACAAGGAGAGATGGAAATAATGGGCAAAAGAATAAAAAATTCATAAGAGTGCATCGTATGAGAAATGATGACATTAGAATTTAGGAGTCTACCGACATCGAGGAGAAAAGGAGTACCGAAAACTGGTGGTACAGGCACACATGGAAGACACGGAACAGCCAAAGATGGCATTTACTATCGACCCCAAAGAAGGTGAGACATTGGACGTCCAAGAAAGAAATTGGCTGTTGAATAGAAATAGGTCGTAGGGCCACATACACTTAGAAGTTAATGATGATGATAGATATTTTCATTGCATTTCTATAAATTGTAATCTTATATCTCAAACCATTTAGAGTTATTTAAGTCACCCGGAACTTTTGTCGCTCACTATACATACACATTCACACATGACACTGTATATATAGGACATATGTATATAAAACGCCTTAAAATATTTCGAACAATGCTCATGTGCAAATAAAATGGACTAAATTAAGTTAAAAAGTTCTCTACCATTTGCAATTTTCATAATTTAATGAGATATTAATTTTTAAAGATCGCTGAATAAGCGCGTATCTGTTCGACCTACCGTTAAATGCACACTTATCATAATTGCAAATTGTTTACTACGTCGAGGCAATAGTAATATACGGTGGAAAAAAAACAACTCATCGCGTGCTTGTATTTAACGGTAGATATGAGCAAATATGTGCTTATTGGGAAATTTTTATCCTGGTGAAAATTTTTCTCATAATTTTTATACGAATTGGAACATTTTTCAGAAATACTCATACTTCGGACAGTTTACATCTTGTCTCAAAACTTCTCATACAAGTAAATTCTGAAATATTCTAAAATTTCTCATCCTATAATTTTTAAACAGTATTTTTTAATTTTTTTAATTTTGCAATATTTTATCAGAAATTATACTTATAAAAAAATCTTAAAAATCTTACGATATTTCATAATTAAGGTATATGAAAAATTCTGAGAAAAGATGTAGATTTTCTAAGAAATGTTCCAATTCGTATAAAAAAAAGTGAGAAAGTTATAAGATTATAGAAAAATTCTGAAAAATTATATAGAAATTCTAAAAAATTATATGAAAAATTCTGAGAAAAATTTTCACCAAGGTAGAAATTAATATCATTAACCGCAAAACAATAAAGAACTTTTTGACATACAATCAATCTAGTCCGCTCTGAACACGCATTGTCCCAAATATTCTGGGACATCCTGTACACCCACACACACACACACACACACACACACACACACATAACTCAATAAAATTATAAGATCACGTAAACTCAACATTTTAAAGGATCAAAGTTCAAGGATACGTATTTTTGCGAAAAATGGTCGTAGAATGATGTTTTAAATTCTGAAATCTTAACTTTTTCGAATATTTCATCAAATCACGTATTTCTGCAACGATTTCTCTGTAAATATAACTTAAAGTGAACCTTGAAAAATAAAGAACTTTAATGTACGGAGAGAATAAAATTTTTCTGCAAATTTCTTCAATTGTATTATACAATTTAACGTTTCTTCCTTAGAGTGTTTTTTAGTCTTAACGTTTTAAAATCTATCATCATTTATTGGAAACAAAATAAATTTTTGCAATGCGTTCAAACAACCAACTTTATTATTTTTCGAAAGTTTCTCAAACTTTCATTGATAAGTAAGATATCTTTTATGAATGTATGGACTTTCGAAATGCATAATCGCATATAGCCGCTCATGGTCAAAATTTTTAACTCCCTCTTTCTATATCGACCATTTTTTTTTAATGCTAACAAAAAGATACCTTGTAGAAATGGACATCTGTTGATAGTATTTCAATGTATGACTTTGTTAAGAGGCTGTTTATAGCAGCTTATAGTAGCTGCTAAACCTCGAATATTTTTTTTTATATTTAAAAGAAAAGAAATTATCCGAAAATCTTGATAGTAAAACCAGTTCAAAAAGTTTCTTACCCGAAATAGAAGAAATGTTGAAAGGAAAAAATGTTACTTTTTAAATATAATCTCCCTTAAGTTTAATACATTTTGTACATCTCTTTCGAAGCATCCCTATGCTCTTAAATAAATAATTTTTATTCTTAGTCTCAAAATAAACTTCAACGGCTTGAAATTCTTCATCGGTGTAAAATTTCCTCTTTCGTAAGTCTAATTTTAATTTAGCGAACAGATAGTAGTCATTCGGAGTCAAATCTGGATTGTAGAGTAGATAAGAAATTTCTTGGAATCCATATTCTTTCACAAACTTGCGAGAGTGGAAATTTTATTCATCATCTTACGAAGAGTCGTTAAAGTCTATTTTGAGACTAAGGATAAAAATTATTTTTTAAAATGGAAATGGTCTCAAAGGGATGTACCAAATGTATTGAATTTAAAGGAGATTACATTGAGAAACAATAATTGCAAGTTTTTTCTTTCAACATTTCTTCTATTTCGAACTTCAGTATTGGAGTGTAGATAAGATGTGTTCGTTCGAATCGTTTAATTTATTTTGCTTCTGATCGCTACGTTATATTTAATGTTTTTTAAAAGAATTTTTACGACTGAAAAGGACTAAATAAAGTTTAAAACGTTCCGTAAAATTATTTTTTTATTGTTGATTATAATATGAATAAAATTATATTAACTAGTCATCTTACTTGGTTTGATCCAGTTTGTTGACTTTGATTTGATCTCTTAATTACTTTGCATACACACACACACACACACACACACACACACACACACACACACACACACACACACACACACACACACACACACACACACACACACATATATATATATATATATACGAGCAATCATTTATATGTATATTTTTGAATATCTGTATAATATGGTTAGAATGGATTAAATGAGATCAGATTAGATTGCATCAGGTTATATATTGTTATATGGCATAAGCTGAGCTTTGTTGATATTTAGCAAAAATTGTGCACAGTTTTCCATGATTAAATAGTGATATTTAATTATGAAAACCGATATTTTTATTATCGACTTATATTTTCAGAATTTCTGTACATTTATTTCTTCCTCGATTTTAAATCTGTCAACAAAATGTCATACATTTGCTAGTTTTTAAAAGTTAATTACATTTCGTAAGAAGATCATTATGTATCTCATTTTTATAGTACATCTGTGCTTATTTACTTACATCTTTCATATTTTTACACATGTTCCCTGTTTATGGAAAATTAATTGCATCACATAATTCTGCAGCTTAAAAATTATACTACATGATAAAAAAATCATTCAAAATTTTACTTCCTAATTGGGAGCAGAAATCGACTTTTACACATCTTCCTTTTGTAGTTTATGATGCCCTGGTGTCCCTTACACATTGACAGAAAGAATCGCACTCTTATGAATATATTAAAGACCCTCTAATAAAAGTCTGGACACTGAATAGCCATTTTTTTATTGATCTGCCATAATAATTATTGAAAATTTTCAACTTTAATAACTATTGAAAAGAAGAAAGAGAGAAACGAAGGAAATAAAAAAAGAATAGAACGGGAAGAGAAAGAAACAACGAGTATATGATCTCTCTTACGATTTTCCTAAAACTAGAAATCCTGCATACAAAATGAAATTTGTGTCCAGACTGTTATTAGAAGCTCTCTAGGATACATTAATGCTCATTTGAAAGACTACATATTAATTGTATAGTGGAATATTTGTAATAGTACATTATATTGAATTAGATAACTAAGAAGTTTTCGTAAAAGTTAATATCGTGAGCAAGTATTCAGACTTGAATATGATCTGAATCAATTGTAATATAAAAGAATTCATTATATAAGGTAACTGTCCTTATTAGTGTACCTTTAAGCTAACTTGCTCATTACTGAATTAGTTATTAAATATTGTAGCTTTTGTCTGCTCGAAATCAATATCGATTTTTCAATTATTTCTTTTTCTTGTAATATCTTTTAATGTAAAAAATGTTAATATTTAACGTTTTTGATAAAAATAAATGTTTTTTGTTGTTTGACCCTATTAGTGTGTCCTTCAAAGGCTATGGCTTCATTCATGTGCCCCTAATTTATGTGCCTCGGCATTTGACTTGATTACATATATGTAGATAGCAAAACAGATGATAGGTGTGAGTAGTTTAAGTTAATATTCCATTAATCATTATTTTAATTATATTTATAATTTCAATGTACACTTATAACTCAACGCTTTCAGATTCAATACATCCATACAGCATACTTTATCCCAGAGATCTTCCTGGAAACGTTCTCAAGACGTCCTTCAGAACGTTCTTCGGAAATTTGTACTATAAGAGCAGGGCATACTAATAGGAATAAGCTTAAAATCTTGTAGTATTAAACTCACATAAATTCTTTATATCTTTCGAAAAATGTTTACTACACTTTAATAATTAAAAAATGGAATATTACCTTTGGTGTCGTGTATATTAATAATTTAACTTAATAAAAAAGATACTTTTTCTTATTTATTAGTGCTAGTTTTCTTTCTGACATATTTAAAGAAAGGCATACTAATAGGAACAGTTATCCTAGTTATCCTTTTATCTCAAATTACGTGTTTGATTAATAATGGCACATTATTTGTATATATACATAAATCAATAATTTTTAAACTTTTATATGAAATAATAACAAATTAACACTCAGTCAGAAGTCAGAGATAGACTTAATGTATTTCTTATTGGAGCATCTACCGAGATGAAGTAACATGTGATTCTTCAAATTGGTTGGTTTGCTGAAACCGCGACTGCAAATGTGACATCTAAACGGCCACAGTCCATTATGCACATACGTGTGACTCTTCAGGTCACCCGGCGTCGGAAATGATTTCGAACATTGCGAACATTTGTGTGGTTTCTCCTGGAAAAACATAACAAATATTTTACAGTGAACATATACGAAATAATTTAAATATATTTTAATTTACATATTCTTTATATATCGAAACAACTGTTCTTAAAATTGTTGTTTTTCACTGGTTCCATATTCACTGGTTCCATCATTCTTATTCCATATTTTTATTCAATGATGTGAATAAAATAGAAATGCCGTATTATTATACACACAATAACATTTTCCTTCTATACATACATATGTTGAACATTTCGACTCGCTTTAGAGTCATCATAAGTGATATATTGCTTTTCTAAAGATTTGACACATTAATTTCTCATTCTATAAAGCAATCACTATATAATAATAAATTGAACGATCTAAAGTGAAGTGCAAGAATTTGGTTGTAAAAATAATATACGTAAGAAGTTCATAAAAGAGAAATAAGAGCGTGTTAACAACGAATAGAGAAATCATATTCACAAGAACTTTTACGTAGAGTTACGCAAATCATTATAGTTAAACATCAGTAGTCAATAAGATATAACATGTTAGTCGTGACCAGACAAAAGTGAGACTGCAAATATTGCAGCAGGTTGAGTGGTGGAAGCCAGAATTGCTTGTTCC